GCCTTCTATCATTGATTTCTTCAAAATGACAGCTTGCCGGAAAGAATAATTTCACAGGAAGTTTTAGTCCCATTACTATCTTTAAACCAAGTATGCTTTTCAACAATAATTATGTCAGTCACTTTTTAGATAGCTGCAAATGATGGACTGTACCTTTAACATAAAAAAAACCTATGATGAGAATGTTGCTGCAGTCAGGCAACCTGGGTGAATCACATCCTGGTAATATGACCACGCATCCCAACCAGTGCAAGGTACAAACACAACAAACGCAGGGGTGTCGCTTGAGGGGGTGTGACACTCCCCCCCCCCCCTCAATTATTTGTTTCTCAGCCAAATCACTGTTCTGGCAGCAAAATCGTCTCTCAGCAGGATATGCTGTAACAAACAGTGCCACCTACACATTTCTTGTCAGTCTCGTCTGCTGTAAAAACAGTACCCCCTTTGGTCTCATGTTGACATTCACTCCTCTCTCCCTCCACCTCCCCCATCCCCCACCCCCTCAGATTTTGATTTTGCGATGGCCGCATGAACAGGTGCACGCACAAATCCTGACTACCTTCCAACACGGTTCCGTCACATACCGTGGTAATTACATGTACATGTATTGTACATATTTACAAACAGGACACCAGTTTGGCCCTCCAGGACCAGCACAATATCACAGCTAAAAATAACAGCGTTGCTGTTGAAACCCCTCAGCCAGAGTCAAGTTATCATCCGGAAACCATTAACCTTTAACTCACGTGGTGACCTTGACCTTTGGCCTTTGACCCCAGAACCAGTCCCAACATGCCTGTACCAATGGGAAACCCCCTACCGAAGTTAGACACCAACATTTCATTTCTAACTCAAGTTATCATTCGGAACCATTTACATTGAACTCACCACGGTGACCTTGACCTTTGACCTTTTGACCCCAAAACCAATCCCAACTTGCCTGTACCCAAGGGCAAACCCCTACCTCAGTCAGACACCAAAATCTCATTTCTAACTCAAGTTATCATCCGGAAACCATTTACCTTTAACTCACCATGCTGACCTTGACCTTTGACCTTTTGACCCCCAAACCAATCCCAACTTGCCTTCTCCCAAGGGGAACCCTCTTCCAAAGTTAGCCACCAAAATTGCATTTCTAACTCAAGTTATCATCCGGAAACCATTTACCTTTAACTCACAATGGTGACCTTGACCTTTGACCTTTTGACCCAAAAACCAATCCCAACTTGCCTACTCCCAAGGGCAACCCTCTACCAAAGTTAGACACCAAAATCTCATTTCTAACTCAAGTTATCATCCGGAAACCATTTACATTTAACTCACCACGGTGACCTTGACCTTTGCCCTTTTGACCCCAAACCCAATCCCAACTTGCCTACTCCCAAGGGCAACCCCCTACCAAAGTTAGACACCAAAATCTCATTTCTAACTCAAGTTATCATCCGGAAACCATTTACATTTAACTCACCACGGTGACCTTGACCTTTGACCTTTTGACCTCAAAACCAATCCCAACTTGCCTACTCCCAAGGGCAACCCCCTACCAAAGTTAGACACCAAAATCTCATTTCTAACTCAAGTTATCATCCGGAAACCATTTACATTTAACTCACCACGGTGACCTTGACCTTTGACCTTTTGACCCCAAAACCAATCCCAACTTGCCTACTCCCAAGGGCAACCCCCTACCAAAGTTAGACACCAAAATCTCATTTCTAACTCAAGTTATCATCCGGAAACCATTTACATTTAACTCACCACGGTGACCTTGACCTTTGACCTTTTGACCCCAAAACCAATCCCAACTTGCCTACTCCCAAGGGCAACCCCCTACCAAAGTTAGACACCAAAATCTCATTTCTAACTCAAGTTATCATCCGGAAACCATTTACATTTAACTCACCACGGTGACCTTGACCTTTGACCTTTTGACCTCAAAACCAATCCCAACTTGCCTACTCCCAAGGGCAACCCCCTACCGAAGTTACAACCCCAAACAACATTTCTAACTCAAGTTATCATCCGGAAACTAAGCTGCCCGGACGGACGGACGGACGGACGGACGGACAGACATACATACATCCGGACGGACGGACGCCCTAGGCGATGACAATACCCCTCGAGCCTCTCGGCTGAGGGGTAAAAACTACATGTAACAAGTTTTACCAGGGCTAAAATGAGAATATGTATCACATGTATACGTACGTGTAAGAGAAAAATCTCAATAACATTTGAAACTGTTATTGAATCAGCATACAATATACAGTAGGTTTTCCAGGGGAGGATCTATAGCTTTCAGGAAATAGGGATGGGGGGTTGATATGAAGTGCGGGTTGAGTGAAGGTTTGCCGAAAATTGTAGAAATCTACGATGATTTCTCCTGCATTCTATGGCAATTTGAGAATAAATTTAGGAACTCTATTATTCAGTTTCGTATCGTAACATTAGTGAGTGGCTGGGGGGGGGGGGGGGGGGTTTGCAACCCCCAAAACCCCTCCCCTCTTCCCCCAGATCCGCCACTGTTTTTCTGCTGATTTTATGCACGTTACGGTACATGTACCATCTTGAACTTGTGTGAGAGGTAAACTATTCAACACGCGCACGTGTACAATGCTTGCTTGCTTAGTGCGTTAAATTTCCCTGTGTTTTTTGTTGATTCAGTTGGGACTGATTGAGTGGACTCGTGAGGTAATACTGACAGGATGCCTTCGTTGGGAAGAGCTAGGCCTAATGCTAATGGGTAGTTAGCATTTAGCGGGACAGTGGATAACTGTAATCATAATGGTGTAATGGTGGCATTAGCAACTTGACATGTTCAAGCCTGAGCAGCGTATGTATATGTAGTTAGCATTTAGCGGGACAGTGGATAACTGTAATCGTAATGGTGTAATGGTGGCATTAGCAACTTGACATGTTCAAGCCTGAGCAGCGTACATACATGTAGTTAGCATTTAGCGGGACAGTGGATAACTGTATTCGTAAAGGCGTAATGGTGGCATTAGCAACTTGACATGTTCAAGCCTGAGCAGCGTACATACATGTACATTTACATGTACAATGCTCTATAAAACCCAATACGATTGGGCAATTAAACCATTTCTAAAATTCATTCTGATTCTAACTTCTTCCGGGAGTCTTTTTTTCCCTTTCTTTCTTCAGAATTGATAACAAATTATTGTTTAGGTGTACTTTTAAAGCAGGGTTAGGGAAGAATGTGAATTCAAACAAGCACAGAGTCACAGTTCAAACCTCAAGTCACTGCCTATTTACATGTAATTTTGCATTTTCCCCTTCCCCTACCCCCTGTCAAAAGCTGACAGACTGAGAAACAGTTAAGGCAATCAATGCACCCATACTGTACGTATGTATCATATCGTGATATACATGATATCTTTGTGATCATGTTGCATCTTATTTTAATTTACATGTACATGTGTACAATGTATTGTATTGTATTGTATTGTTTTATTTCCATTTGTCACAAATTAATATGTCACAAATTAATATAATGCAAATGCAACAGATTATTTACAATAACAATAACTAAACCTAATAGAATACTAATACTTGTACAACACTTTGATCAATTAAACATAATGTACAAATGTACTTGCTCGGACATTCAGCACATACCGGCTGATCGGTACATTGTTCTGATGTTCTTTTCGGGGATCAATAACTGAGGGATTTGCGCACAACAATAGTCCAGACAAGGCCACCACTAGATAGCACCAAAAAGTGTCCTCCGATAAAGTAGGGTCTCTCAACCCTGGTTCTGACCAGCGTTGAATTTTACCCCTAGTAGAGTTTTGGAGCTGTGTAGAATGCAGGACCCGTGTTGGGTTCTTGCTGATGTGAAAGAGGTTCCAGAATCTCCCATGTTTGAAGTTGAACCTGGTACAACTGGGGGATTTTGGATAACCATGTGAAAGGCCCTACAGTGGGAATTGTGATTTATGTGCCCTGTAAATATATGTAGTGTAGTAGTGGGTCCAGGATCCTTTAACCTAAACCCCCTAGGCCTTTTTTGATAGAAACCATCCTCATTCCTCAATCCTCCACAATTTTGCGCTTATGTTCAAATGGAGGATACCCACTGCCTCAATCCTTCACAATCCTCCGACAGTCCTGCCTCTCAAAACGCATTCATTCTCAATCCTCCAAATCCTCCTCTCCTTCAAACACCATTCATCCTCAATCCTCCAAAATCGACCGATACTGAACGACAATGTGCCCACAATCCTCCACAATCCTCCATAATTGTATGTTGCATTCAGCCTCAATCATCCAAAATCCTCCTAACGACTTTGGAGGATTGAAGAGGGTTAGGGTTAACCCTGGATTTGGCTGAGATGTTTCACAGGAAGCAAAAGCCATTTTAAGAAATGAACAGAGCTTTACAAAATAGTATGACTTTTTTTTTTAAAGGGAAAATACAACATTTGCAAACATCAAAAACTAAAACTACCAAATAATTTTGAAATACCTTGCTGGACTGTTAGTGAATGACAGTGTAAAGCATTCTGTAAAATCGTGGCACCTGGTATACTGTCATTTTCAAGAAAAGTGGTATTTTTGTATAATTTCCAACGCTGGTCGGCCGACCAGCGTTGGAAAAAACTGGCTTTTTTTTCAAATACTGGCCCCAATTGGCCATCGCGCTTGTTTGCAATCGATTACACACCTATGAACGGGTACAAGCCAGCTAGACTGGTTCCCTGACCTTACAATTTCCCCAATGTATGTAAACTGCTCTGTTTCTTCTTATATGGAGTCAGGGAACCAGACTACAGGAAAATGATTGTTTTTCTTGGTTTTTATAGCATTTTCGAACCAAAAACCTCAATAAAGTCAGTGTAACTATATTTGCTATATATTTCCAACCCCCCAATTCCATCCATTTCTGAAAATTACAGCAAAAGCAAATGATGTATATTCCCTTTAAGGAAAGGAACTTTTGAAATTTTGGAAGTATGCAAAAAGAATATGTGTAAGTGTACCTGTGTTGTTGTTCATTCTGCTTCTGTTCTTCCGTCAGAGCCGGGAAGACCCTCTTCTGTTGGAACTGCGCAGCAAGCTTCTGCAGAGACTGTAAATGAACAAAACAAAAATCATTCATACATATACACTGTATGTCTTGGTATGTTTTGAAGGACAATAGGGTCTGCAAATCTTTGATTTCATGTTAAATATCGTACATACATGTACATGTACATATATACGTGTGTAAGTTCATGTATGTACCAGTACTGCAAACAAGTGGTATTATTACATCGTCGGGTGCGTAGTAGAAGGTCGTTAGGGTGAAAAACGGGGTCAAAATTCGGATTTGTCTGGTAATCGATAGAGCTTGGAAATATCTTTCATATATACATTTTCTCTCAAGGGGCTACGTCATTCTGACATAAATAACAGTATGAAAAAGACGGCAGGAGATTTTTCATTATTTTTCCCCGACAAAAGGATATTACCGTACCTGTAATACTAAGAGCATGTAAATATCTTTCATTATGTACAATTTGTCTCAAGGGGTTACGTCATTCTGACGTAAATAACAGTATGAAAAAGACGGCAGGAGATTTTTCATTATTTTTCCCCGACAAAACAAAAGGACATTACGGTACCTGTAATACTAATAACCAAGTGCGCTAATGTCCCACTGAAGTCGGTACGCAAAGCCAAGTTTGTTCCCAGCAAAAGGATGTTATGATTTAACTTGCCCCAATAAAGCGCACATTTAAGGCAGGTGGAGTTCCCAGTAAAAGGTCGTTAGCGTCAAATTATAAATAATTTCAAAATAAGTAAATACTTTGAAATAAAAAATAAAATGCACAGTATTATTTCAATTATTAACGAATTTCATGAGTCAGAATTTCAGCCTAAATGTGATTTTAAATTTTAAAATGGGAGCACAAAATCTTCAACTCGATTACATGTATCTCCAAAAGTGTTTTTGCGTGCCTGGGCTGCTAACGTCCTTTTCCTTGACACACGATGACACAGTCCCTGGACATACAAATACAGCTTCAAAGCTCTATCATGTTTATTTTTTTGTTTAATCTGGCTAATCAAGTCCTTGGGTATGACTTTACTCACTGTCAATTCTGGCCAAGTGCTACCATAAAGTGTGCAGTAGTCAAAGTTCACTTTCTCCAATTGATATGTGACTGATCTTTGCAGTAACCCTAACCGCCCTGAATCCTTCAAAATCCTCTTTGCCAAAGTGGAGGAATTTGGAGGATTGAGGTTACATGACAAAAGTCTGTTACTGATTTCTTAGGATGCACTTTGTCAAGGTCTTGGGCCGGACCATGTGTTGTTTTTGCTCAGCCATGCATAAATATAGGCCTGGATTATGCTTGAAATCCTCCGTACTGCTCCAGGATGTCAATGGCCAATCCTCAACATATTGATAGTCACTGCTGCAGGATTTTGCAGGATTCAGGCTGTGTTCACCCCTCCGTGGACCATATTCAAGAAATAATGGAGGAATTTGCAAGATTGAGGCTTTGCTATTTGTCCATGACACCAATTGGAGGATTTTGCAGGATTGAGGCTACATCCTAGCAAAAAGGCCTAGATAGTTAGGGTTAATTAAAACGTATCTCTTTTTTGTCTCCTTGCTAAATGAATGTTGCAATTTTCTCTCTATTTAGCAATTCATAAATATCTGGGACAGTTTACGGGTACCAAGATTCCTATTGGTTGAGAGCCCGACATGCGGGTGGTTTGAAACCACCGTTTAAACACTGCTGAGAAGTGTTTAAAACAGGCCAAAAGTAAAAAATTGCCCCATGAATCAGGACAACAAATATCTGTTTTGGTTTTTGTCTTTTATTTTCTCAAATAATGTTACAATAACATGAATAATGTTTATTTGTGCATTTTGATAACTGCTCATGTTGATAACTGCTCCATCACATATTTGTTTCAGAAATGGCATGTGCGGTACATGTACATGCAATGCAGCTAAACATTCTCTGAAGTTACACAAATTTGTACGGTACATTACGTATATATGTACAATGTACATTTACTACTACATTACATTCATGAATAAAAATATTCAACACATGTACCGATACATAATTATGTACATAATCAAACGGGCTAAGAACATTTGCGAGCATTGTAAATTGTGCAGCTAAGTACACATGTGCACTAGTATGCACAAAATGAGTGACATTGCACCATCCCGTTACCTTGGCAACCAGATTGTACATCACTTGAGGGGAAAAAGTCTGCAATTTTCCACTCAGTACTGTTGCGCCTAACAACATTTACTTATTATCAATCAGCCACCTAAAATAAACACAAATAATGGTACAGCCTGGCAAATTTCAACTTAATGTATCACGTGTTACATTACATGTACTTGTGCATTTGTATAGAGTACATTGTACCGGTATCATTCAGCATTCACAAGCATCATGTACTGTACATTAGTAATGGGCTCCGTGCGCCAGCAAAAGAGGGCACCTTTTTACCTAGCAACGACGTCCCATGGGCGGGACACGTACATTTCGCCGGTTACGCGCGTGCACCGTTCCTTGTGTACATGTATGACGCACGTACACCAGGGGATTTGTACACGCAGTGGCAGCGCTTCACGGCCAAATATTGCAGTCAAGCAAGATGGTGTCGTCCGGTCACCCCCAACTGTACTTTCTTTGCCAGTGAGGGGGTACTTGTGAACGGAGCGGATAACAACAATTTTAGGTAACAATATATATGTTCGTTAACAATGACAAGAGCCCCGAAAAATCCAAAGAAGAACATTCAAAACCTAACCTGTTGAAGTTTCAGCGCAGTGGATATTACGTATTTCGAGAAAACATTTTAAAACCAAAACATGCACAACCTTTTGATCATGAAACACAATTTCGTCCATAGCACTCTTTATATTTCTGAAAATCAGTAGGCTACCAACTGACCGGTTGTTAGACAACACCTCCTAAATGACAGCAAGCCAGACAAAATAATTTCACAGGATATTTAGTACCAGTACAATCTTTAATCCAAGAAAGCTTTTTGACAATAATTCAGTAAGTTACTTTTGGGATAAATGCAAATGATCCCATTATGTCCTTCAAAAGGAAAGTCAATATTCAATATGTACAGTACATACTTAAAGGGAAAATACAACATTTGCAAACATCAAAAAACGTAATGATCAAATTATCACGAAATACCTTACTGAATTTTTAGGGAATGACAGTCTAAAGCATCCTTTAAAATCGTGGCTGACATTTTCAAGAAAAACTGTATTTTTCCAACGCTGGTCGGCCGACCAGCGTTGGAGAAAACTGGCTTTTTTTCAAAAACTGTTCTTAATTTTTCATATTTAGTTATTCTGACTTTTCTTTGCAATTGATCACACACCTGTGAAGGGGTACAAGTCTGCTAGACTGATTCTCTGACCTTACAATTCCCCAAAGTGTATTAATTGCTTCGTTTCATCTTAAGTGGGGTCAGGGAACCAGACTACAAGAACATGATAGGTTTTATTGGTTTTTTCCGGCATCTACAAGCCCAAAACATGAAACAAGTCAGTTTAACAATATTTTATATAACATACTAATCCTCCAAATCAATTTATTTCTGAAAATCGCAGCAAAAGCAAATGTTGGACATTCCCTTTAACAAATATCATACATGTACTACAGTATGGTAACGGTACATGTAATATGCTATGTTGGTATGAGGAACAGAAAATGCTTAAATCTGAAATCAGATGATTATCAAAGCCCCAGAGACATATCACTTCCCCTTTTGATTGCTCTCTAAGGGGAAAATCATCCAACCCAAGCGCAACACAATCCATGACGTACTCATATTGGTAACATTTGAGCTCTTCTTTATTACATGATACTAGTACGGTAGCTGGAGAGCAGTTCAGATCCATAGTTTCTGTAAGGCCAAGTAAAAAAAAAACCAGTTGGTCGTCCCCACCCGCATCCTTTTTCCTGCCTACCGCCATTTTTTTTTTTTAACCCTAACCGACCTGAATCCTTCAAAATCCTCTTTGCCAAAGTAGAGGAATTTGGAGGATTGAGGTAACATGGCAAAAATGCGTTACTGATTTCGTAGAATGCACTTTAATTGTCAAGGTCTTGGGCCGGACCTTGTGTTGTTTTTGCTCAGCCATGCATAAATATAGAAATCCTCTGTACTGCTCCAGGATGTCACTGGCCAAGCCTCAACATATTGACAGTCACTGCTGCAGGATTTTGCAGGATTCAGGCAGTGGTCACCCCTCCACGGACCATATTCAAGAAACAATGGAGGAATTTACAGAATTGAGGCTATACATGCTATTTTTCCATGAGGCCAATTGGAGGATTTTGCAGGATTGAGGCTACATCCTAGCAAAAAGGCTTTGGGGGTTAGGGTTTTAATTCAGACATTTGCAATTTTTCAAATTAATTATTGTCAAAATATGTCTTTGTATTTGTTTTCCAAAAAATTTGCGGAAAGAATGTTGAACTTGACACTGCTTTTTTTCCTTCACACATCATCTCAAATGAAGGTCAGTCATTGCAAAAATGATGATAAGACATGAATCTGGGACTGAGAAACATTTCCATTTTTGTTAGCAAATACTTAGACAATTTTCGTGACTCTCCATAGACTTTTGTACACAGCCGCTGATTGGCGTCAGGTTGCAACATTCTTTCCCAAATTGTAGCTACTGGTATGTCGAAAGGGTACAGCTCCTTTGGACAGATTTTGTTTCAGCAAAAGAGTCGACAAATTGGAAGAATCAATCCCCTATCTTGGAAAATCTGCCCTCTTTGGGCGAAAAATAGGGGGGAAAAGCACCAGCCTCCGTAAGTTTTTCAAAACACCCAGACAAGAAACACTTTTTATTTTCCTTGGCCTAAGTTTGTTAGAAAAAAATATTCATCAACAATTTTATTAGGATTCATCAGTTCAACACTGAAGTGAGTGCCTTTCTGACATTTATGAAAACTCATTTTAATTGTGCAGTCCTATAAGATTATTGCGTAAACCTTGAAAATTGAAATGGTTTTAACTTCTACAAAAGTGGGAAGCGCAAGGCTCCAACAGACAGGAACCGGAAGTGAA